GGATGCATCCCCATTGTTTAGTGACACATGACTGTACATCAACCACTTTGCTATACAGCCTTTGAGTAGCAGTAGCAGGGGCCTCATGGTAAGACAACCAGCACACTGCTTGAACCAGAGTAGTAGCTCCAAACCATGAGGAAGGGACTACCCTCATTAGCCATTCCTTAACATGTTCTTTTATTTTATTTATTTATTTATTTATTTATTTATTTGAGACAGGTTCTCATCCTATTGCCCAGGCTGTAGGGCAGTGGTGCAATCTCAGCTCATTGCAGCCTCCACCTCCCCGGGGCTCAGCCGATCCTCCCACCTCAGCCTCCCAAGTAGCTGGGACTACAAGCATGCACCACCATGCTGGCTAATTTTTGTATTTTCTGTAGAGATGGGGTTTCACCATGTTGCCCAGGCTGGTCCCAAACTCCTGGGCTCAAGCAATCTGCCTGCCCCAGCCTCCCAAAGTTCTATAATTACAGGTGTGAACCACTGCACCCAGCCATTTTTTTTTTCAAGACAGGATCTTGCTCTGTTGGCCAGGCTCCTGTGCAGTGGAACAATTATGGCTCACTGAAGCCTCAAGTTCCTGGGCTCAAGTGATCCTCTTACCCCAGCCTCCTGAGTAGTTGGGACTACAGGGATATGCTATTATGCCCAGCTAATTTTTTAAAAATTATTTAGAGTTGCACCCTTATGTTACCTAGGCTGATATTGAATTCCTGGCCTCAAGCAATCCTCCTGCCTCAGCTTCCAAGTTACTAGGATTACAGGCATGAGCCACCCGGTAATAAAAGAACATATTCTTTTATTTGGCCAACATTTGCAGTGAGATGATTGTGTAGCAGCTCATTCAAGACAGGAGCCAAGGCCCAGGCCTCCGTGAAGGAGCCCCTTAAGGCAGCTGAAGTTAATCTGAGATGCCTTCCTGCAGGGGCCTGGCCTTGACTTTGGAGGTAAGTAATGGGCTGGAGTGGATGCCCATGCCACTTCCAAGGGACGTTCTCAGACGTCAGGCAGGTGCACAGCCACTGCAGCAGCAGCAGTGGTGCCATTAACAGAGTCCTGTTCCACACTGGCCAGGCTCTGCTTCTCCATGCACCTCCATGGATATCATCCTCTGTGGTCCTAATCGATGAGCTGTTCACACACGCTAACAATGAAGGTCCGTCTCCTTCCTTCCACAGTCTCTCTTGAAGCCGTATGAAGCAAAGGGGTGAGGGAGCCTAGTGTCCTACCCATTTTACAAGTAAACTGCTATACAGAACGGTCGGTGAGTGAGCTTGGGTCACACGGACTGCTGCCTTGGTCAGATGCTTTGCCTTGTTCTTCACTTGGGGAGCCTTTGGGTCCTGACTCTTGTACCACTGCCTCAAGTCCCTCAGTTAAGGTATGAACAGTTAATCACCAGCACCAGCTCCCTTTTAAACCAGATTGCCTATGAGGTTGGGTTGCTTCCAGGAGAGGACACCCCTGGGGAATCTCTGTTCCGGAGACCAGAAATTGAGCCCAGGGGCCTGGCATGGAGCTAACAGTAAAAGCAGGCAGTAGAATAGCGTGGTGACTTAGAAAGTCACACAATCTTGAGTTCTGTTCCAGCCTCACTACTAACCAGCTAAATTACCCTGGTCCTCTCTGAGCTTCAGTATCTTCATCTGTAAAATAGAGACAATGGTATCTTTCCCACTGGCTGGTTGCAAAAATTAAATCAAATGATCTATGGAGGGCTATCAGCCCAGTGCCCTCCTGCTCTGCCTTCCTGTGGGTGAGTGGGGACTGTGCCAGCACACAGGTGGGTGGGCTGGTGGGGAGCATCAGGCAGAGATGGCAGTCATGCCGGGAAGGGGAGCTGGTTCTCCGGAAGTGACACCTGAAAACATTCACAAATGGGAAGAACTAAGAGATTCTCCCTCCAGTCCTTCTGTGTGGGTGTGGGTGTGGGTATGTATACACACACAGTCATAAACTCTTCTTTTAGATGACTGTAGTCACCAATCACTCACTGTGACAGCCACCACAGCTCTTCCCTCTGCTGAAGGCAAGGCCTGACTCTCAAGCAGGAAACCAAACCAAAGGGAAGGGAGTGGTTTTTGGGGATTTTCACCTTGCCCCAGGGAAAGGATCAACGGACACTCTGGCTGCTATCGTGTGTCCAAACAGAACTGGAAAGGGAGTTCAGTTAAGGGAGCTGGCTGTCCCTTCTTTACAGCTAATTTTGTCCTTACTACCCTGTAAGGTAGTTTTGCTCTCCCATTCGACCAACTAGGAAATGAACAGTATGAAGCTCAGAGAGTCAATAACTTGCTCAAGTTCATATGGCTGGCAAGTGTCAGTGCTGGGAACAGGGCCTGAGTTCTTTTCTTACACAGCACTGCCAAACCAAGGTACTGACAGATACTTTTCAGGGAAGAAGCCCTGAAATGTGCCTGAACACCTGCTATGATGGTTCTTTCTGGTTTTCCCTCTTTAAAGTTAATTTCTTTTGTTGTTGTTGTTCACATTTAAGTCTAAAGGGTAGAGAGGGGACAACATACCTTTGAGGCCAAGCCACAAAATAGAAGCAGAGGTCAGAGGAAGATCTCAAAGAGAGAAATGAAATTCAAGGGCTGCTCATTCCACCTGCACAGTGCGGTGTGGGGGTTAACGGTGCATGTCCTGGAATCACAAAGACCTAACTCAAGTCCTAGCGTCACCACTTATTAACCTTGGGCAGACGATTTCACCTCTTACTGCCTCAGTTTCCTTTCCTATGAAATGATACTAATGTATACACTAACTTTCAGAGCTGCGAGGATTAAATGTCACACTGAGTTAGGGGTGCTTAGCACAGGGTCTGACACATGGTAAGCCCATATCACCAATTATGATGATTGATTCTACCACCACCACCACCACCACCACCACCACCACCACCGCCACTCCCCCACCCCCCACCCCCACTGACAGCTTTTCTCTTTCCACATCTCCTGTTTTAAAGAAGGAAGGCAAAGGAAACATATGGATCTGGTCAAATGGGTAGACTATCTGACTTTGGCCACACAGGACGATCTGACTTTAAATTACATGAGAACTCAGTGTGCTAAGTAGGAGAAACAGAGCCCCTTGGTGCTGGTCAGGGGAGGTTTTCAGAAGAAATATATATGGCAGGGAACAGGAGGACAATTTGGTAGAGGGGTGGGAATGGCTGAGATCTCAGGGAAAGTAAAGGGTGGGGCAATCTGGGAAGCAGAGGGAATGGGGCAGCAACCACCTGGTGATCGGGAGCCTAGAAAAACAGCCCAAAGCTAAGTTGGAGGCTGAGAGTGAGGAGGCGAGTTTCACAGGGAAGCAAAGCAGAGCAATCTTCATATATTGAATGTCTGCTGAATGCTAAACTCATTCAACAATTAAAACCTCACCGCACCCTTAGGGGCATCCTGATTTTTCAGAGGAGGACACTGGTGCTCAGGGAAGTGAAGTAACTTACCTAGTAACCGTCAGGGATTTAAGTCTCAGTCTGGCTGCCTCCCAAACACCCAAGCCATTCACTGACTGGGACATTGACAGTCCAGGTTCAAGGGGCTCTTAAACCATACCAGCCCTTCTCTATAGCCATCCGTCATCCTTCGGGCTCACGGAGGTCACTGCCCTCCCAGACCACCCACTGCAGCTCTGGACAGGCTCCCAGTCTTCGACCACATCTCACAGACTGCCACCATGAAATGCCAGAACCTGGAGTCCGGCCTCACTGGCTCTCCGGGGCTCTTCCCATGAGGTAAAGCAGAGAGAGTAGGGTTTCCAGCCGGGGAAGGGCCCAGTGGGGACTTCTCGGTGCTAGAGCCACTCCGAATTCAGAGCTCCATGTCTACACCAGTCTGATCTCAAGGAACCACCACTGTTTGGCACACCTGTCTTGGTGACCCTGACAGGGACCTGGAGAACAGAACTAGCAGGGGCTTGAGGCTGTTGTGTGCCTCCCAAAAGCGCCCTGGACCTTCTCGGATGCCCTTTCTAGGCATTTCCCGAAAGCAAAGGGCATGTTCGTCTGCCCACCCCAGGATGCTGTAAGCTGCACTCCCAAGTCCAGAGCTCCGTGGGCCAGATGGCTTTGCAAGTTCTGTCAGAGGGCCCGTTGTGTGAGTAGCTGACCCTTCCCAAGGGCAGCAGCGTGTCCCCTAGCCTTCCCTGCCGGTGCCTGGGGGGAGGGAGTCCGGGAGCAGAGAGGGCCAGCCCTGCAGTGCCGCCTGTTCCTGCGGCTCCTCTCGGCGGGGGTGAACACAGCAGAAGAGTTTCTGCCACACTGCGGACCGCACCTGCTGCATTTCCCTGCGAAGCCAAATCTTTGCTGGGTAACAGGGCGGTGGGAAGCCGATCTGGAGAAGGGGTCGCGCCGGCCGGAGAAGGGGCAAGAAAGGGGTCTGCAGAGCCTGTCTGGAGGCACCGCAATAATAGCAACACGCCTCCCGCGGGGCTGAATCCCGCCGTGGGCCTGGGATCGCTGCTATTGATGATCTCCTCCTCGCCTACTTTATTACGTTGGCAGGAGCCTCTCACCAGCGCTCCTCAACTTCTGCCCTCCCCCCGTCCCCGCCCGGCAGCCCCCAGCTGAGCTCTCCTGGAGCTTCTGGTTAGTAAGCCCGGCTCCGCCAAAGAACGTTTTCCTCTCAGGGCGGGAGCGGAGACCCGGCGGCCAGACGAGGTGACGAGCTTGGTGGCGGCGGCGGGCAGTTCGTCCCCGGCCCCGGCCCCGGCCCCCGGCCCCCGGCCCCCGCCCCGGCCCCCGCCGGCCCCTTTAATTCGAGTTCGCCGTCGGGCCAGGTGCGGCGCTGCGTGGCGCGGTGCGGCTGCGGGCGGCGGCCGGGCGCTCCGTACGCGCCGCCCGCGGGACTGCAGAGCCGGCTCCCGGCTGGCCGCCCGCACCCCGCCGCCGCCCGCTGCCGGGTCCTGCCGGCGCTGGCCACAGCCCAGGAACATGGAGGCCCCGGTGCCCATCCGGAAGGGTAAATCCGTGTCGGGCGTTGCGCGGCGTTCCCCGCCCGGCTGCGGCGCCCAGAGCGGCTGCGGGGCACCCGGCGGCACAGCCTGCAGCGCGGCAGGCTCGGGCTGAGTTCCGGGCGGGCGAGCGGTTGCCGACTACTGCCGTCTGCTTGGCAGGTCCCGGACCGGGGAGTCCAAGGGGAACTTGCACCCGGCTCAGGAAGAGTGCACGGAATGGGCTCGGGACCCTCCTGGGCGTGCGTGGCGCGGGGCGGAGGGTACAGGGAGGAGCTGGTGGGTGGTGGGAAGTGCCGCTGGCAGCATAACCGTGTCTGGTAAATAGCGCGGGTTGGTAGGACATGAACCACTTGGGACGGCCGGGCTGCGTCCGCCTCTCCGGCGCAGAATAACAAACGCCTTTGCTGCAGAGAAGGGCTTTCCCCTTTCTCGCTGGGGCCGTGGGCTGCCGCGGAGCCCCCGCGCTTGAAAGGAAGCTGAGATCTGGGGCAGCAGCGTGGCGCAGGCTACACCCCACGCCCAGAGATCAGGCTCCGGGATTTTTGGGTGGAGTCGGAGCCTCGGTGGTCCCTCGGCTGGACCCGGGGGGCAGGAGAGCTGAGCTGCGCTCGGGCCGGCAGCGGGAGCCGACCGCGCGGGCAGGAGGGGGTTAAGGTGGCGCTAGCTGCGGCGGCCAGCGGGAGGGTCTGGTCCTCGGCGCAGAGGCGAGCAGTGAGCGCGCCGGACGGAATCCCAGCCGGAGCCCGGGGCCATGGGGAGAGGGCCCAGACCCCTCCCCGCCCTGGGGCCGGCGGGATTGGGTCGGCAGGGGGCCAGTCCGGAAGCCTGCTTCCTTCAGGCTCCCCCTCTCGCTGCTGCCAAACCGCCTTGCAGCTAGGCAGGCTGAGCGTTTTGTTCTGTGCTCCCTGCTGAGGAGATACGAGGGATTTTCTCTTGGGGGAGAAATCAGTGGTCGAGCGCCTGCCCAGCTCAAATGCCACCCGGCTCAGAGAGAGGCCTGCGGCCCGGGGATCCCGGAAGGAGAGTAAGTTCATCCAGCTTCTGTACAGTGGTGACTTTGTTGTGAGGGGTCTCCCTAGATGTGCCCTGAAGGAGTCTGTGTGTGCCGGGATGTGGGGAGATTCTTTTCCAGGACTGTCTGAGGTCAGAGCTTGTAGGCAGGCTGCTAAGGCAGTGAGCTAAGCCCTCCTCTTGGGAGATGCTGTGTCCTGACATGTGGGGGTAGGGGTGCTTCTTCCAGAGTCCTTCCTGAGAGCAGCTGGGGACTAGGGACCTGGATCAACCCAGGAAGGCCCCTGGAGAAGGCAGGCCCAGCTAAACCTGAGGCTTGCTCCCCGGGAGAAAGTGCTTCAAGCTGATGAGAAGCCTGCACAGAAGAGGCAGGGAGTCTGAGGGATAGTCCTCAGGCCTGGCATCAGAATGGAGAGTGGGCATGGGGGCCTGTCACCTTCTATAAGGGAAGCTCCCAGACCCTCCCAAATCTTGGCACCAGCTGCCCAAATGCCCTGGTTCCACCTTGCTGCTGTTTTTTTCCAGGCAACGTCACACCTCCTGAGGACAGCCAGGACTCCAGCTTTTGCTGAGCTTTGCATCTTGCTTCCTTCCTTCCAAAGACTCCAGACACAGGCTCAGCTGTCTTCGAGTCCCGCATGCCCCTGGCCAGGCACCTCAGCGCCCATCCAGCCCAGCCCAGTCCTAGAGCTCACCTCCAGGACCCAGAGTCTGCCCTCCTGCCCAGAATGACTCACCATTATTTCTAGTTCAAGTGAGAAGATGTGATGGGGAGTTGGGCTGCCTGTTTGTGCATCTAACATTCCCGCAGCTTCTGATCAGCTCTGCAAGGAAGAGAGCTTCAGGTTCCTGTCTGGTCAGGTAAATCAATCTATCATTTAATAACAGCCTTGTGTAGAATCACTGGGTGGAGGCCAATGAGGAAGACCCAGGCCCAAGATCCCCCACCATGAATACCTCCCTGGGTATAAGTATCTGAGACATTAGTGCAGCATCAGGAAGAGGGTCCACTTTTAATCTATTAGCATGGGGTTATGCTCCACAAAGCCTGTGTGGTACAAGGGGGCCTGTACCAGCCACCTTCCCCCAGTGCAGGGAATTCCAGAGGTTCCTTGAGAGGTTGCTACCTGTTTCCCTCTGATCCCCAGACAAGTTACAAGGTGAAAGTAAATTTTGCTTTGTCGTTGTGGTGGTGGTGATCATGTTTCTGAACTCTTGGCTGAGAGATGGGAGACAAAGAGTGGCAATCCAGGTCAGGCTGCCAGTGCTGAGTAGTCTCATGTGAATAACTGCCTCTGTCTTTCAGCCAAGCGAGGCTGTCTCTCCAGCTCCCAGAGAGCTCTCGGGGCTCTCCTGCAGGAGCCCAGGCCAATGCTCCTGTGCTTCCTGGGGCCAGTAGCAGCATCCTGAGCTCCCTGCCGCCAGGCAGCTGAAAGGCATAGCGTGAGGCACTTCTCTCAGTCCCAATTATGACAGTGGCCACCGGAGACCCAGCAGATGAGGCTGCTGCCCTCCCTGGGCACCCACAGGACACCTATGACCCAGAGGCAGACCACGAGTGCTGTGAGAGGGTGGTGATCAACATCTCAGGGCTGCGGTTTGAGACCCAGCTAAAGACCTTAGCCCAGTTTCCAGAGACCCTCTTAGGGGACCCAAAGAAGCGAATGAGGTACTTTGATCCCCTCCGAAATGAGTACTTTTTCGATCGGAACCGCCCTAGCTTTGATGCCATTTTGTACTACTACCAGTCTGGGGGCCGACTGAGGCGACCTGTGAATGTGCCCTTAGATATATTCTCTGAAGAAATTCGGTTTTATGAGCTGGGAGAAGAAGCGATGGAGATGTTTCGGGAAGATGAAGGCTACATCAAGGAGGAAGAGCGTCCTCTGCCTGAAAATGAGTTTCAGAGACAAGTGTGGCTTCTCTTTGAATACCCGGAGAGCTCAGGACCTGCCAGGATTATAGCTATTGTGTCTGTCATGGTGATTCTGATCTCAATCGTCAGCTTCTGTCTGGAAACGTTGCCTATCTTCCGGGATGAGAATGAAGACATGCATGGTGGCGGGGTGACCTTCCACACCTATTCCAACAGCACCATTGGGTACCAGCAGTCCACTTCCTTCACAGACCCTTTCTTCATTGTAGAGACTCTCTGCATCATCTGGTTCTCCTTTGAATTCTTGGTGAGGTTCTTTGCCTGTCCCAGCAAAGCCGGCTTCTTCACCAACATCATGAACATCATTGACATTGTGGCCATCATCCCCTACTTCATCACCCTGGGGACAGAGTTGGCTGAGAAGCCAGAGGACGCTCAGCAAGGCCAGCAGGCCATGTCACTGGCCATTCTCCGTGTCATCCGGTTGGTAAGAGTCTTTAGGATTTTCAAGTTGTCCAGACACTCCAAAGGTCTCCAGATTCTAGGTCAGACCCTCAAAGCCAGCATGAGAGAATTGGGCCTCCTGATATTCTTCCTCTTCATAGGGGTCATCCTTTTCTCTAGTGCTGTCTACTTTGCAGAGGCCGATGAGCGAGAGTCCCAGTTCCCCAGCATCCCAGATGCCTTCTGGTGGGCAGTCGTCTCCATGACAACTGTAGGCTACGGAGACATGGTTCCGACTACCATTGGGGGGAAGATAGTGGGTTCCCTATGTGCAATTGCAGGTGTGTTAACTATTGCCTTACCGGTCCCTGTCATTGTGTCCAATTTCAACTACTTCTACCACCGGGAGACAGAGGGAGAGGAGCAGGCCCAATACTTGCAAGTGACAAGCTGTCCAAAGATCCCATCCTCCCCTGACCTAAAGAAAAGTAGAAGTGCCTCTACCATTAGTAAGTCCGATTACATGGAGATCCAGGAGGGGGTAAACAACAGTAATGAGGACTTTAGAGAGGAAAACTTGAAAACAGCCAACTGTACTTTGGCTAACACAAATTATGTGAATATTACCAAAATGTTAACTGATGTCTGATTGAAACCTCTTACCATACTCACAGCTCAATGGAACTAATGCAGATGTTGCATAATACCCTGCATTGTAGTCAGTGTGTTCTACAGTGTGTATCTGGTTCTGCATGGAAAGCAATAGTTGTGCAAGTGACTTTTGATCTTTTGACTTTTGATTTAGGACACAGAGTATCTATCATGGCTTTCATGCACATCCTCATCACTGGCTTATGAGTTTCCAAAGATGGGAGTCACCTATCGAGCTAGGATTTCAGAAAGACACATTGAGGCCACCGCATATCCAATACACAGTGCACCGTATCAGTGCCACCATTCCTTCCTAATTAAGTGCACACAACATCCAGGAGATGCACTCCCCTCCCTGCTATCCCACCACCCCATCTGAGCCCACCTGCCCTTTCACAGAGGAACACAATCATGGCTTAGCTTTAAATATCTGGTGTTTATTCAAAAGGTCATTCTCATTTTCGCATTGAAAAGAACACACAGTCCTGTGTGTTGGAATTACTTTCTGTGTCACAGGCTGGGGTTTGTGAATTGCAGTTGCCAAGTAGACGCTCCGGAGGCTTGTGTTTCATAACGGAAAATGCTGCATTCTGCTTTTTCTCTGCAGTGTCGATGTGAGGGAAGCCCGGGGGAGGGACAGTTAGTGTGACCAAATATGAGTTGTCAAGTTTCACATTTGTTCCCTTAGGCCTATGGGGAGAAGCTAACAAACCAACGGACCTCTAAGCCTCTGATTTCACCATTTTTGCAGGCTTCAGGGTCACAAAAACATGTCTGGTTTCTTACTAGAGTTTGCAGACATCTGCTTTCTTACTGATGTGGCCCAGCTACACTGACACTGCAGTGAAATTTACCAGTGATGCGATAGAGCTGCATGGGTGTTTGTTGCATGAATCTCAATATTTAAAACAGGAGATAACCTATTTTCCTAGTAGCCTACACAGTATTAATATTTAGAGTATTAATAGCCTTGAAATGGTCTTGAACTAGGGATTTTTTACCATCAGAAGGTAAAAATCCCTCCATCAGGGGAAAAACCATGGACTATTTGGAATGGAACTAAAACTTCTGTCCCCCCAGCCTACCTATCCCTGTTCTTCTAAATGGGAATGCAGACCTCTGCAAAGCCAGGAGAGTGAGCAGGGAAGGCAGCGTCTGAACACCTCACATGACTGCACCTTAGCATTAATCTAGTCATGGGCATGACTACCCAGTGGACCAGGGCATCTGGTCCTGACGACAGGCAGGTCTGTGGATTCAGTGTATATAAATATATATCGAGTATCTCTCTTTCACGCGTTCCTCTACCTAGCTAGCGATAGGAAAAAAAATTGCATTTGAACATTGTACAAGCTTATGCAATATTTTTGACACAGGGCAATTTATGCATGTGTTTGACTATGTGCACTAGGGTGTATATATATACATACATATGTGTGTATATGTATATATACACACACATACATATATATATACATATATATATATTCATTTTCTGGAGTTCAGGTTTAGGAGCAAATCCACTGCTTGGTGGCTTGGCTGTCTAAGAGGCCTAACGGGTTAATCTGTCTCATTGGTAACCCCACTGGGCCTGGGTTTGCAGCCATCGCCTCAGACACTCTGGTATCCGTGGATTCTTAGACGTTAGAATTGTCTTTCTGCCCTCCATGTGCTGCAGCTTCAGTTTCCATGGCTGAAGCTTGTCTTACTGAGTGCACAAGGGCCCTGTGGCCCTCACAGTTCCAGCTGTCCTGGGCCAGACCCACCCCGGGCCTCCGCTCTATAGTCTGTCCTCTTCATCATCTCCATTCTCACCTTTTCTCACACCACTTGGATCTTATCGTCATTTGGCTCTGCATCTGTCACTTTGACAAACCTTTCCCTAAAGAGCCAGAATGGATCCCCTGCTTTGAAACCAAGGACACCAACGAGTAAGACTCCCTGGGACCAAATTCCACTGATCTGGACTTAAAGGGAGCCTCTTCTATGTGGAAATGTTTGAGGTCCAGAGCTAAGGGATGGAGTCCCTAGATGATCCAAAGGCATCATTTTGATCTCCAGACCCAAACTCTCCTCCCATTGAACTGGCAACCAGAACTGCTTTTTAAAAGGAACCAGTGGTGTAAAGAATCATTTCCCACCCCCAAGAACAGGTAGAGTGCAAATGAGCACTGCAGAGCTCAAAGGTAGACAATAGCTTGACCCCAGAATGGCTTCAGGTTGGGGGCTTTTTACTCACCACACTGGCTTCTTTGTCTCTTGACAGAGTGGCTTAAATTTCCTGAACAGTGAATTGCAGGGGTTGGGCTGTGTAGGAGTGGCTTCGGCCCAGGCCTCACTGCTGCTTAGTTAGCACCTACAGTTTTCTTGGGGCATGGGGCACCAGCTCAGGGTGCTAGGCCCAGGGTGCTCATTAGTGCCTGGTCACCCACATCCCCAGGTATCTGCAGGATATCCCATGGCCAGCACAAAGCCTCTGTGCTTCTCTTCCTCTCCTTCATGGGAGGTGGTGCTGAATTTCCAAGGCGTGGGGTGGGAAGGGACACAGACCTTTGGAAAACAGAAGGTAAAGCAACCCGTATCTGAGGCCTAGGTCAGAGGTAGATATCTTATCACAGTGTTCTTGGCCCAGGACTCTAAAATGTTCACACACAGTCATGCACGTTCACCACAAAATAGACACACAGTTGCCACACACAAGTATAAAACATGCAACACGTGCAAAATACAGACAGACCAAGTTAACATAAAAGCAAACACAGAAGATATATGGTTATAACTGTCTACAAAATATGCACATTCTGCATAGATACATAATTTCCACATAACATAGACAAAAGACAAACATGCACCACATACAAACATACAGCCTGCAACTCAGATGCAAAATACATAAAAAACTACAAGGACATAATGCATATGCATGTAAAATACACAAAGGATACTTTACCATTGTTTCTACACATGAAACACACACAAACTCAGTATATATACGCAATGCATTTACTTATAATCAGCACACGAAATACATAGCACACAGGCCCAGAAACATCACACAATATAGATAAAATGCAGACACATACTCAGACCCATTGTCCTGCCCCCAGAGCTGTGAATGAACAGGCACAAACAAAAGATCAGATTTAGTCACCTCTCCCTGGCCTGTGTCTATATCCCTCAGTATCCTTCAAAAAATCTCTTTCTCTAGTCTTTTCTCTCACCACCAGATTTCAGTCCTGAAAAGTAACTCCTGAGGTTTCAAGCAGAAGGATGAGCCACCACATCGAGCAGATACCTGACCAAGACCAGGAAGTGCATGGGGTCTCTAGCAATTCACCTTCCTCCCACCAGAAACCTGGTTACAGGGTGTGGGAGTATCTGGGACAGCTGGCAGCCTAATATAGGCCTCCTTGCCATGACTCTTCCTTCCAGCAAATCCACGCAGACAACCCAGGCTCCCCTACTCCCATCACCTGGGGTCTCCAGATTCAGCCCTATTCTCTTAAAAGCAGTCATGGCTCAAGAAACTGCAGAATCTTGAGCCCAGGACCAGGGTGAAGATGTCCCTAACATTCTCTAAGCCCACAGATCTTATTGCCCCTCCATCCTCTGCAGCTTTGGGGGGACTAGGTCAGGAAGTTGAGACCCTATAGAGGCCCGTCTCTTAAAATGAGCCACTTTTACTTGCTTGTGGCATTTCACTTGCTCTCGGGCATACACCCAAAGGGGCCAACTCCCAATTCCCCTCTGGGGGTGTTCAAGCCCAGGCACGCTCTTCCTTCCCTCTTGCTGGGCTCCCCGATGCCCTGCCTCCCATCCAGTTACTATGCAATCCAATTCAGCTAAAGTAAAAAGTGATGAAGAACATACACCTAAGGCTAAACAAGCAAACACTTTTTAGAAGGCCTGACCTTATCGTATATTCTAAGGCCATATTTAAATACTTTCTAAGATTACCCACCATTTTGGATTCCTCTTGGAGCCGGTTCTTCCCCTCAGTAGGACTAGCTGAGAGCTGAGTGCATTTCAGCAAAGGCTTCGCCTACATTGGAAGTTAGGAGTTGCAGTCAGGCCTTAGATCAGGATCCGCTCCTGCAGCCATTCTCGTTGCAGCTCATGCTCCTTTCCAGTGATGCTCGCAGCTCCCAGTCTCTACAGAGAAGGCAACAACAGCAGGAAATGGACATGTGGGTCCAAAACTTATGCTTGGCTGCAAACTTGCATTTCCAAGTCAAGATACCATTCCTGATGGCTTCATCAAGTGCCTCTGAAAGTTGGAATTCTCAGGAAAGTTGGAGTTTTCAGAGGCTGAAAAGAAGGAGCCCCAGGAAGGGTGGAGGGATTGTCAGGAAGAGAGAGTAGCTGAGCTGGTCAAATTTCAGAGTAAACTTTTCAGGAGCCAACATTTACTTCAGAAATGATTAAGGCTCTGTGCTTCCTGAAACCTCAGTGATGCTTGACATGCTCTCTTCCTTCTTCTCTGCTTGCCTCTGTCCCTCTCACCTGGGCTTCTGAGGCTGGTGTTGGCAAGTCACCAGGAGGTTAGCCTTCTAAAAGGGACTCCCTGGGAGTGTACCTCTAGACCGCATTAGCCTAGTATGGACAGGGCTCCCATGGAAGCTATGATGGCCCGAGACCCCAGCCTGGGTGTTCATGTTGCTGCTCTGTGTGGGGAGGGCTCAGGACTAGCTTGTCCTACCTGTCCTTCCTGGATCTCTCACTATGTTGACATGAGGACTTTATCAGTGTCAACCCATGTGGAAAGACGCCAACACCCTCTGGAGTTCCTCAGGCTGGGGGTTTAGCACTGCCCACAGTAGGAGAGTCATAGAGGCTGACTTTCCCCAAAGGAAACTATAGAACAGTATGCAAATTGCATATGAAGGTGGCACCATTACCGCCATGTCAGGCAGGGGAGCGCAGTGCTCTGACTTGTTTAGTCAAGAGAGGGGACGGCAGTGCTGAGATCTGCTCCCCAGGGCTTTCCTGGGGCCCATTGTTGTAACAACCTATATGTCGGTGATGGCTGCCTGGTCTGTGAGGGTTGTGATGTCCAGGGTGGTCCTTGGTTACACAATAGAGGTTCCCCCAGCCTTGGCAAGGTATCCATTGCCAGGTTTGAACCCATGACCTTAACCTTGTTCACATCATCAGCCCAGGTGAGCCAACCCACAGGGAGAGGGATGCTGAGAGCTGTCTCAGTAGCAATTGTGACTATCATCTATATCTTCAGACTTGGCCCTTGTTGAGACCAACCCTGTTCCCCTATCAAAGCAGCCAGCAGGGACAGATGGAGGTAGGGGCTCCCCTACGCACAGGAAGGGTTCCTTCCTCAAACTAACCTAGTTTACTTTTTCTTTCTGCTTCCCTTCCCACCAAATCTCAGCTTCATCTCTCATAGTTTGTGTTTGACTATTTTCAAAGAGGAAAAGTGCAATAAAATAAATAGTGACTGTTTTCTGTAGCAATAGCTCTTTCAAAATCTCACTCTCAGGACTGAAAAGTGATAGATAGTACCTGGATTATCAGATAGTGCCCTTGACTTCTGGGCACTCATTCACAGTCTCTGTAGTTCCCTCTGCTTCCCACGTGTTTACGTGACTCCTGTCCTCTGAGATCTGACCTCCTTCTGGAATGGACACATGTGCTGAGGTGCAGTATATGCACAAGGAAGGCCCGTGAGAGGGCTTTGTCGTTCTGTCTCTTTCCTGTGTGCACCTCTCTGTCTCCATGTGTGTCTCTGTCCCCTCTCTCTCTGCCTCCCCATTTCTGCCTGCTGTCACACAGCATCCTTATAACCTCTAGGCACAAAAATCCTAAGTTTGAGTGACCTCCTCAGCCCATTTTGTTGACTTTCCTTCAGTCTGGCAGGTGTAATGGAAGCCTACAGGAAAGTGCTTCCCAATATAAGAATAAAGCATCCTGAGCCATTACAGAAGATCATTTCCATGCACTAAAAGCCATTACTTGATCCTTTTGCTACCCTTCCTCCCTTCCCCAGGGAGATGGATGCTGAGGGAATGTGGCCTGGAGGTTTGCACTTGGGATCAGTAGCCTGGGCAGATTTGGGAATCGCCCTCTAACTCTCCTTCAAAATAAGCTGACTTGCTCAACCAAAGGGACTCCGTGAGGGCTGCAGAAGGAAGCAAGTTCTTGTTGGTTTCAGTAGAAGTCTACAGGGATAGAAGTTTGGGTGGTTAGGGCATGACATAAGTGAAATAAAGACTACCACCTGCTAGAGTGTGCAGCTGCACAAATATTTGCACACATAACCAGAGGCTGCAGAAGAGTCCCCTTTTCTAAAACATCTGTGAGGTTAAATGTTAAGACTGGACAATAAGGGAAGGCCGGCAACCCCAGGGTCCCATTCCATTCTTTTTTGATCTACCTTGCTCTATACACATGTGTACAGCAAAACGTCAGTTAACTGATGGGAAACCTCAGGGACGGGAACATCCTGGTTGCTTTGCAATTCTGGTTATTTGAGTGGGAATGGGAAACATTGCCTGGTTCAACCTTTGTTATTGAGAAAAATATTTCCTAAGTAGGTTAGTGTAAACTTTCCTGCCTTAGATAAGTAGAATGTTTGAAGATAACAGGAGACCTTGCATTGTTCAGGGTCAACATTCGAAACCTCAGTGCTTATTGTATAGAAGTGGAGATAGGTGGAGAAGACCAAAGAGACAGGCTGAATGGCTGCTGGCTACAAGACAGACCTGGAAATGGGCCACTGGGGCACATCCTGCCTCATCAGATAGAGCCTTTGCTGTCATTTGCATCTTTCTACTGAAAGTATAGTAAAAAGACATAATTCTTGTCAATCAAGGGTTTGGTTAATTGGTCCTGAGTTGTTAGAGGTTTTCCATATATACATATATCTGTGTGTGTGTATATATATATAGTATATGTATATATGTATACTGTTTTTTAAATTACAGAATTATACATTGACCAATCTCCTTAGTTTTACTCATGTGGAATAAATTTGGCAATCCAAGGAATAAACTACATTTATGTGCATTTTTTGAATGACTTCCTTTGCATTCTTTTCACCTCTCCAGTTCCTCTTTTTTTTTTTTTCTGCTCAGGCACCTCTCTAGAAGGCAGATATTTCATAAAAAAAGAACAGGCCCAGGATCACCTCTTTCCTTTCCCTCCCACGTGGCTGCCTGACTCAGGGACAAAAGGGAAGAGTGACCTAACAGCTAGGTGCTTTAGCCTTTCTTCTGTCTGCTCTGGTTGGCTGTAACCTCATCACTGAGGACCAGAAAGGTTATTCCAAACTTTGTACTGGAGGGGAGTGGAGAGCTTGAAGACCTAGCAAAGCATTGATCTATTTAGCGTTCTCTTTCTCATTGGTGGTGCCCTAGGTTTGAGGTTCGTGAGATCTGAAAGTAGCATTCCAATGAAGAACTAAAGCACATCTCTGCCTCACAGAAGGTGAGGTTTGTGACAATCAATGGAACTAACAAATCCATTCTGTTTTTTATTATGACTAAACCTAAGTTGAGGGTTTGGGTATTAGAGCAGCTGAAATTCAGTTGCCTCTTTGGGGGTAAGCTGTATACATCACTCAAGAAACGGCTGGGTGCACGTTGAAACCTACTCTCATTCTCCCTCTTGCCTGCCAGTGTGTTAGATCCATGGGAGAAAGTTTCTTTCAGCCTCACCTCTTGCATTTGACTGTGTGTTTTCTACCTGGATAGGAGTGGGAGGGATTGTTCACTGTATCTGGAGCAATTGAGGTGGTGCAGGGGTGTCTGCCATCTCCCCACGCCCACAGAAGCCCTCCAGTCTGGCTACGTCAGTTGTGACCAGGTAGCAGAAGCCCATAGCCCAGACTTGGCATGACTAGCTGGTGAACTGAGGCAGTTGAGGTGGCCTGTCTGGATGGCTACTTCTTAGACTTCATGAACCTCAGCATGGAAATGGATATAGCTTTCTGTGCTCCTCTACACTCCTAAAATAGTCAAATATGTTCCAGATGAGTTTGCAGCTGAGGACTCCTGCATCATTCCACTGATGGATGCACAGGGCATGATTACGTAACAGTGGGGACAGCTACTGCAGCGTCTAGATCACTGAGGGCAGCGCAGATGTGACTGTATGCTAGGACCCTTGGTAGCTATCCAGAGGACTCAGTCCTGTGTCTTTCTGAGTCTCTGTGAGAGGCCTCTAAGCCCTGCTTCTCCTTGAAAAATGATTCCCTAGACACCGAATGCCTTGTTTGTATGAGTGAATAAATACTCTGGGCTGCTGGAGAAAGCAATAGGAGGAGCTAGGAGGAAGAGAATATTCAGGGGTGCACTTTGCTACCAAACAGTTGCCATGTCAGCTGCTAACATTACTGCCTTTTTAGCCTATAAAGTGTAGGGCAAGGACTTTGACCTGCCAGGTGGGGCTGGAAAGGAGCACATCAGCTCCAGGCTAAGAAATGGGATTGAAAAGCAAGAAGGAGAGGGCTGGCTGGCTTTGGCGGGGGTGAGTCTCAGCTCCTGAGGGTTTGAACATGCTCTGTGCTTGCCCCAGTTCTGCCTTCACGTGGGATCCAGCGACCCAGTTTCCTTTTGTTGTCGTGCTTGGATGGTTCCTTCATTTGAAGGGCCCCAGGAAGCTGGAAAGTCCCATGATCGAGCTCTAGCCTGCTGAGCAAACAATACCCCAGCCAAATTGGCCTCTTCCTGGTTTTCTGCATCCCTGCACCCCTCTCTCCACCAAGGATAATCTGAGAACAGTTGAGATTAATGGTGCCAGCAATCAAGGAAGATTCTCTAGTTTTCATCAGGGACATAGCTGTAAAGCTCATGAGTGGAGGATGCTATTTTATTTTCCAGACCTGTGTGCTTATGTGCTTATATAGGCTGTCTCTGGAGATTTTATATTGTGTATGTGTATATATATATATACACACATACACATACACACACACACACACACAAACACATATATATATATATATATATATATATATATATATATATATATATATAGTGGAAATGGCTGCCGCTCACTTAGTCTCACGCAGCACAGACTCCAATTAGAGTTTGCACTGGCTTCCTTGCTGCTTGTGCATGACTCTGCAGCTGCCCTCCCATGTCCTGTCTCTAATAATTGCTGAAAACTCAAAGAGGCAGATAAATAAGCCTCCCTGGGATCAATAGCAGAAGGAACTCCAAGGCTGATGGTAAAGCTTCGTAAGGATGATGCCGAAAGGGAACTGGGGTCTCCATGGTGATAAGAGGCTGGGGACCAATGAGAACTGAAGGCGGAGCAGGACTCGTGGGGAAGACTCAGGGGAGTTGGGAGTCATTTAACTATTTGTTTGCTTCATGAAAATTTAGACACCAGCTGTAACTACATTGCACAGGATGTATTGATATTAACATTCTTGCTAACATATTCTGGAAGCTTTCAGCCCCACCAACACTGCCCCACCCAGGACTTCTCCAGCTGAGAGTTCCTGTGTCTGTAGGGTCTGATATTTGTACATAGGTTATACATATATGTGTACATATGTGCCTCAATGAACATTGCCTGTCCACCTGATCATGGGTGTACATAGACTTCATAGAGCTCCACAGTCTTTTGTAAATATTGACACAAGTAAATAAGTATATAAATATATATTACTGAGGATTTATTTTAACATCATTCTGTGTGATATGAAAAAAATAAAATTTTTGACAGACATTGATGGTTTTCACTTCTTTCTTGCCTGCTGGAATTACCAAACCTACAACACGCAAGTGTGCTCTCCCTACTCTCAGTCTAGTTTCTGTGGCCATGAGGGGCCAGACAGAGAGACCAGGGAAGGGCGGGAGAGGGTCCTCCTGGATGCACTGGAAATCATAGTGGCATGTGCCCACCTGCCCTTAACTGGGAGCCCCACGCATACAAGGCAGGGCATGTGGATGGCAGGGTGGGTGGGTACATTTGAGATCTCCCCAATTACATCAACACTTCCTGTATCCTCTATGAAGCTGGTGGATGTGTGAGGGTGGGGTACCCAGTTAGAAGACCACACACAGTCTGGAAATCATTTAAATGCAGCTGCACCCACCTTTGCAGACCTTGTCCTCAAACCCACCCCCACCTCTGCCCATTACTACTGGCCCAGGGGTCTGGACCAACCATGCTCCCAACTCTCAAGTGAGGAGAATGTCTATCTGGGTCTCCCGAGACAGAGACGCAGCAGCACCTCCTTGGAGAAGATCCTAACACACACACACACACACACACACACACACACACACACACACACACACTGCTGAGGCACATCTGTCTGATTTCCTCTGAGGGCTACTCTAGTCCTGAGCGCTCCAAAATTTAGAAGGCTCAAAAGAGACCATGGTGTGGAGTATGAACACAAGTAAATCGATGCCTCAGCCACTAGCAGGCACATTCCATCCCTGACCACCCCCATACTCCGAACACCCAAACACCCAGGTCTCTTATTAAAGATCCTTAGTTTTAGGCCGGGTGCGGTGGCTCAAGCCTGTAATCCCAGCACTTTGGGAGGCCGAGGCGGGTGGATCACGAGGTCAGGAGATCGAGACTATCCAGGTCAACATGGTGAAACCCCGTCTCTACTAAAAAAATACAAAAAAAAAAAAAAAAGATCTTTGGTTTTACCCCTTCACAATCTACCATGCTCTGCCCCTAAGAAAACTGAGCAGCCAGAGCAGCTGGGCTCCCCACCCTGACCTTACCTTCAGAAGGATGTGTTTCTGGGTACAGGTACTGAGGTGTCAAGAGAGAGAGTGGCAAAGAGGCAAGAACCATTTGGGACAGCTAGACCTCTGCAGAACAACCTCAGGCTGACTAATGGAGTGGGGCTCCCTACTCTAAAGAAATAAGAAACCAAGTCAGGCTCCCAGGCCTGGTCCCTCCTGCTGGGGCTGAGCAAGGAATTCCTGCCTCCAAGAACCTGGGATGCTGGGAAGATGGGAGCTGGGAAGAATTTTGTCTAAACGGTCCCTGACTGTTTAGATCTTGTTAGGTAAATTGTTAGCTTTGCTCTTGTTAGGTAAAAGCAAGGAGGAAAGCGAGGGAAAGGGAGTAGGGGTGTGTGGAAGTTACAACATCAAGGTCCCCATTCTTCTCTCCGCTTTGGGGAGGAGAGCTCAGCTAGTTCAAGTGCAGCCCACCCATGCCACTGATGCACACCAGACCCTCCCCGCCTGGCCTGAGGCACTTACCCTGTACATACTCGACCACCCTGGGCTCCCCCCAGCCAGAAGCTCCCACTTAAGACTGCCACTTGATGGGTGGGGAACAAGTAGGGAGCCCTCCTAGTCCAGGGGGCCAATGTGGTGGGCAAGAGGAGCAAAGCTGATTGGCACAACTGAGAAACAATGTTACCCCTGGAGAAGGAGAACAGCGCTGGAGCCAAAGGCTTGGATTTAAATTCCATCTCTGTCACTCACAGCTCTGTAACCCTGGGGCATACTCTCTTTGAGCCTCAGTTTCCTCACTTCTATAAAAGAAATCATTACTCCTACCTTATCTTGTGAAGATCAAATGAGCACCTGGCACATAGTGGGAGCCAGTAAAAATATATGAGTGTGCCCTTTCTCTTGGATTCCCATGTCCTAAAGATCTATGTGGGGTAGGATACTCCGAAATCTGAAAGTTGAAGGATTTTCAGCCTTTTTTGGCCCAAGGGTTTCTAACCTTGACCAAGGGGTTCAAGAATTGACCCCAGCTAGGTCTAAAAAGCCCCAGAAATGATGTACGACATGTTATCGTCCGATTGTTTTTCTTGTGACATGTCCACAGCTGTCCACAGCCCCCAAAATTAAAACTACTGGTCAAAAGTAGACACTTTATCTTCTCCTCCACATCCAGGAAGGAAAAGCGGTTTGTCCAGAGTTGTTTTCATTTATTTTAAAACACTCATTTATTCAAAAAAATGTTTTTGCACTCGATGCATAGGATATTCTTCTCTTGTGGGTTTTCCAGACAAGAGAAGACAGAAATTTACCTGAGTTAGTGGCCGACA